CATGAAAGACACTCAAAGATGTTTCAGACAGGGAATAGGTCAGTCAGTAGGCCTTTACTGATTGGCTGTGTTGTGGTCGACCGGGATTTTATTTCCGGCGGAAGCAGAGGTTCTTTTCTTTGTCACCATCTTCAGACCGGCTCTGGATCTCATCCTGCTTCCTCTCAATTTAGTACTGGTTACTTTTTCTTATACGTAAATCGACCGGGCCAAGAACATGGCCATTCACCTTCATCTAACGCAGAAGTTTGAAATGAGTGTATGTATAGCTAGCCTCCACTCCCCGTGCGTCTTCATGGTGAGGCGACTAGTTAAAAACAGAAATATTTTTAATTTTACATCACCTAGGCTCTATGCTCCTGACCGGCCTACCGATCTTTCTGTCCAGTTCATTCATCAGTGGCAATACAGCCCTTTGTTGGGCCCTGGCCTCATCTTCAGTTTCGTAATCTTTTTTACACAGGAGGTAGGACTCCTTGGGTGAGTGATCAGCCCGTCGCAAGGCCTCTACCTAAACACAGGACAACACAAACACAGAATAATGGCAAAATGGCGCTCGGAACAGTAGATAACCATCTTTCATGTTCCATATTTTCACGTAATAGTGTGAATATAGACGGGATGTGGGTTGTTAACTGGATTTATTGAACAATTTAACACATATCTCGTGACTACACTTCACAAATCAGTCACACGCAGACCAGTGTTCTCAGTCTGTTACATTTTCCTCTAGCCGTTGCTTCGTAGCGGTTTTCAACGATTGACGTTCCCCTTCCTCCGCCTTCCCGAAATATTCGAGGACTCAGCTACCAGCTTCTCACAGCAACAACTCAGAACAACTGAACTGCAGCAGTCCTGTCTCACTCACTCACTCACTCACCCACTCCTCACTGACTAACTACAATAACTAGGGCCGCGCCATAGCTCAAGCGGTTAGTCGCTGGCTTCCCACCGCGGCGGCCCGGGTTCGATCCCGGGTCTGGTCAAGTTGGATTTGTGGTGGACAAAGTGGCGCTGGGGCAGGTTTTCTTCGAGTATTTCGAGTTTCCCCTGCCAATCTTCATTCCACCAATTGCTCTACAATCACCCTCACATATCATCTGGGGCTGGTACAATAGGCCAGAAGTGGCCGCAGTACAAGGGACTTAGTCCCACCCCACTAGCATTAAAAAACCTACAACAGCTAACTGGCCCTGCTTATATCTCCGCACGGACCTCGTAGAAAACAATGTTCCTTTGTTGCACTGCGACTGTTGCTGTGGAAACATGCTTTAATGCGAAGCCGTTCCTTAGCGACGGCTGTTTTATGGTTGTTTATTTCGCTGTCGTTGCCTACCAACATGCCACAGTATCTTCATACATCAAAATATCACAGTGCCATGAGATAAAAGTATATTTTCCTTGGGATTAATTAAATAAGCACCACGCCATGATGACGTATGGGGCAGTGGAGATATAACTCCACCATTTTTAACTTCGACAGTCGATGGAGGTGAGATACACGGAGTCAGTCAAAAGAGACGGGTTACACCATGAAGAAATAAGGAAGACGATCAGTTAAAGCATCAAGATGTAGACAAAGCAATAGGACAGAATTTGTAGACTCAGGAATGGGTAAACAGATTCCTGAAGCTTGGAACTCGCCTTAAAACTTCGAACACGTGTGGAGGAATTTCGAGAGGAAATCTGTTACTTCCTGTTCCAGAAGCTGGGGCGATTGCAGATGCGTGCTCATGTTCTACCGCGTCATTTTTGCGTAATATTTGAAAGAACTAAATTTGTAAATAACAATTAGATTGTCGTTTTTTATTTTATGGCACTTTTTACAGTAATAGGTAATTACCAATATCTCGGAGGAAATTGCTGCTTCCATCTTCAGAACAGATGTTCTTCCTGAACGATGGTGATGACCAACCAGTCCAGTTAACTAACTAACTCCGTAGAGAAGAGTCCTTGAGAAGCAGTTCAGTTAGTCAAGAAATTTCTCGTATCTTATTGAAGACGAAGATCTGCTCTCGTTTAAGTAACTCTCTGCCAGGATTCTTTATCTTGATCCAAATGAGTCCAGTTCTCAAATTTGCATTATATTTCTTTAAGACCCATTTTAATATTATCATTCCATATACGCCTAGTTCTTCCATCCACTCTCGTTCCTTTAAATCTTCCAAATAAAACTTTGTATGGGTTTATCTTCCGTACATTCTACATGTGCCGCCCATCTCATTTTCTCTTATTTGTTCGTCATGATAACATGAGGCGGGGTGTAGAAATTATGAAGAAAATTTAAGTCCTGTGGACCATCTGCTTGTTACCTGCTTCATGCTGGTTTGTTGCTTAACTTACTCTTCAACCCTAATGGTGCAGTCGACGCGTTACTCCGAAACGTCGGCCGACTCTCAAGGGACTATACGGTGTTAATCCCAGAAGACATAACTCTTAATAACGACCCGTGCGAAAACCTGAGAACTTTCACAGAAATTATGAAGCTTCTCATTATGAAAATCTTTCCTCCATCTTACGTAATATCATAGAAATCCAGATTATATTTTGTTACCGCGGTGTGGAAGTCTCAATAACGGCATTGTTTTGTCACAAGCTGAGACACTTACACTTTATATGATGACTGTTTTAGATCCTCCCATCACTTAACCTCAGGGTTGGATCATGCAGTCGCTTAGCTTATGGTTTGCTGTGATAGGAAGATGTTCGTTCTCTCTCAGACATTCCTCTGCAAAAGTCGTAAAAATCCCTTCCTGCCAACATGATGCCATAGTTGGGTACAAAAGGTATTACCTCCCCACCCCCCTGCCTAAAGCAGCTTCGGCAGTGAAAATGGTCAAATTACCACAGTATGCTTGTTCTGTGCATGGAAGACCAGCCGCCATTACTGGTCTCTTGGCGGGGAGTGGGGTTTCAGTGGCGGAATTAAATGCTCTTTCCGTTATTTAATTACGATTTTCAGTTTTATGGGTTATATACTATATATTTGAAGATCTATAAATAGTTATACATGTCATGTGATCTCTGCGTTTTCTCTTATCTGATAAAAACTGTAACGGATTAGACACTCCGTCCTCTTCCTACAAAATTGTGAATCCTTTAGAAATGTTAGAAGATTTCTTAAGCTGGGAATCGACCCACAGCTGTAGCGCTGTAATTACATGTTGTCCCGAATTGTGTGAATAAGATGTCAATAAATCCAAACCCCGTCTACAGTCACCCTTACACGTGACAATATTATCTTGTATACAGTTAATATAAGAATGAATTAAATACCATTATAAAATGTGAATAAGGGAAGTTTTGCTTGCTGCCTTCTTCACGCTGGTTTCTTGATTAGCTTATCCTTTCACCCTGAAGATGGCGGAAGTTTGTTCCTCCGAAACGTCAGTTCAACGGTCTACACGGCGTTATATCCCAGAAGACAGAATTCCATCATATCTGTTGTTCAGAAATAAAGCATTTCTACTGTTCTTTCACTGACGTTTCTCAGCCGTCAAAGTATGCCAGTGGGTTAAAAAGAAAAGAGAGCATGTTCACTTTGCTTTCAGTTACGTCTTCGACTTATTTTCAGAATAAATGGCAGGCATTATTCTGTTGAGTGCCCTCTTTAGGTGAAAGTGTCATTCACCTAGCAAGAGCGGGCCCCACGTTATAAATAGACCTACAATGACGCAATCTTCAAATGAGTGGAAACGGTAGGAACTGCTACTGGGGAGGTATCCGGTTCGAACTTCGGTCGGTACACCGGCTATTTTAAACGACGTTTTTCGTGGTTTTACTCAGTCCGTCGTCCTTCCCATCCATCCATCATACTAATATTAATATTATATTTTCATTCACGATTTTCCTTCTTCTATTCAGTTTTATTACTAAAATTTTGTATGCATTTCTGTTCTCTCTTTTGTGTGCATAAGTAATATGAAGGTTGCTTATTTGCTTTTAACCTACTCCTGTTACTTTTCTTATGCAATATTCTTGTCCTTGTAACTACCGTATTTACGCATGTATAAGCCGCGTGCGTGTATAGGCCGCAGCACAATTTTCAGACAGAAATTATAGAAAAAATAATTTTTTTGGAATATTATTTCAGGAGTAGAACACCCTGTATAACTAATTATGAATATAATTTTTTTAAATGAAGTGTGATTCCGAATATTTCGAATATAAGCCGCACCCCAGTTTTCCTCTTGAATTTTTGGCAAAAAATGTGCGGCCTATACATGCGTAAATACGGTATATGTCAGTAGCTCCTGCTCCCCCTAACAAATTTTAAGGGATTGAAGGTTTTGAATAAGGGGTGGACCTTCTTGGCACTTGCACCACGACCACAGTGATCTGTTGTGCCTCGTTGACGGTTTTAATTAATTCCTTGTGAACAATGTGCGGGTGGGAGCCATCTTGATATTTATCAATTCCATGCTATCGGAAACATCAATATGGCAGCTGTGCGAACTTCTGAAATTTGAACGACACTAGCGCCATTTAATATTAAGATCGCAGTATCCTCAGATGTGATGGATCTTCGAATAGTATGCAGCCAATATTAACATCGCTCTATCGTAAAAATATGCTATTAACATGGCGGCTAGGCGATATCTGTATTTAAGTTGCATAAAAAAGTAAAATTATCCCTGTAACAGAAGGTGGAGGACCATAAGGTTCTGAAAAGTTGAGGCTCCAGTATTTTCTAGACTTTATGTAATTAATTTATAGTTGAAGCTAGGTTGTGGAATTTAATACGGAAATTCCTAAAAACTATGCGTGGAATATTTTTATGTTAAAATTACAAAAATGAAGGCGGCGCGAAACTTTGAGATTATATCCGTCAGTCGGTTAGTGGGAACGTGTATGGGCTTCACGTGATTAATTAATTTTTAGTTAATAATTTATATACAATTTTTATGCGTATGAAAACACTATAAGGAATAAATTTCCATCATTTATTTCTGTAAGTTCTTGTTGATACATCAATAAATTATTTATTGACTTTATTTTAGGTGCAGAGTCAGGCGCACATCCCTGAATGAGGCAGAGAGATGAGCGTGAACGGTGAGTAAATTAAAATTACAAAGAAAGGACAGTGGATTATTTTAAGGTAGTAACTTTTGCAGTTTTCTCCTTTAGTGAATTTCTTATATCTTAATGATACTTCCTGCAAAGTATACTTTATTTTACCCTTATAATAGTGTATCCCTTTCAACTGAGTCTCACTATAAATGAAAATTACGATTATCTAATGTGCAGATATAAGATATTATCTTGAATATGCTACATAGTTGGTTTGAGCTCCGATAGAGTCCGCCACTGTGTCTTTCTTCCTCTCCAGCAAGTTGAACAAGTTGAAGGTTCCGAGGGTGCGGAATTTGTTCTTCATCCTTTTTTATGCCTCTTTCTTCTGCTTCTATTACTGTAACATAAAATTTTTCCCCCACTCCTTCCTGTTCTTGACTCACAAGTTAAGAGAAAGGTATGGAGAAAAAAATCCTTTGTATGGAGGAGTTATAGAAAATCATTTGAGTGTGGCTAAAACACAATTCTCGGATCAAATGAACGTGACCATGAAATGACGTAATAGATTTGGCACATTTTCACATTTCGTTCCGTGTAAAGGGAAGTGTGGGGCGGAATCCGTTGGAAGCATTATTTGCATCAGCTGTGACGTCACAAGAGAAGAAAGATGGCGACCGTTGCAACAAACTGATTGCACTCAGGAAATACTTCTTATCGAAGAGTCCAGTTGTTTATATTCTTATTACATGTCGAGTCCTAAAGAGATTTCTCTGCACAGACACCTATAATGGTCTTACTTCATAGATGTGCATACATCTCTTTCATCTGTCTTTTGAAGAACTACAGAGCAATTGAAGCTTACTTAAAGTCACAGCTCCTACTTTTCTCTCTGTGGCTGCAGAGCCCTTTAGACCTTAACCGCGTTTTCATTTTCTTAATCGTATAGAGTCTGTAGGACTCCTTGGACGGGGGATCAGCTTGTCGCAAGGCTGCTACGTACACACAGAACAACACACACACACCGACACCCATACCTCGAGTGGGATTCCAACGCACGACCCCAGTGTTCGAGCGGGCGAAGAAGTACATGGAGGAGTTATAGAAAATCATTTGAGTGTAGCTAAAACACAATTCTCGGATCAAATAAACGTGACCATAAAATGACGTAATAGATTTGGCACATCTTCACATTTCGTTGCGTGTACACTAGATCACGTGGCCTCTGTGTTCAGCTCACAGTTCGAACTCTTCATCGGATATTATTGAAAAGTTATCAGATCGAGAAAATGAAATAGAAGGATTATGTGACAGAAATGACAGAAAGGCGAAATGCATCATACGATGTTTCAGAAGCAGATTGAAGGATAATAATAAAAAGGATCTTTGAAATGTAGTTGATGTGAACTGGATTCATCTGGCTCAGGATAGGGAGCATTTACAAACTCTTTTGAAATCGGTATTCAACCTTCGCTTTTTATAAACTGCAGGGAATTTTTTAATACCTGGGCGACATTTTTCTGCTCTTGAAGGTCTCTGCTTCATGATATTTCCTTCCTCACAACGAAACAAGATAGCCTTATGACATTACCATGCTGTGTATGTGTGTGTGTGTTTTGTCTCTGCCCCCGCCCCCCCATCCATTGATCGGCCAAGTTGAATGATTTTTTCGAAGCACTGTACGAATATTGTGCCATCTCAGGATATTCCATTACCGGACATTTCACTTTCCTACGGCCATCTTGTCTCGTGATCTCGTGGTGAATGTTCACTACAAACGTAAATATTTTCTCAACTGCCGTACAAGAAGGAAGTTGGTCTAGAAGTACATGTTGCTCTCTCGTCGCCAGATGGCTGGGCTGAAACTGTGGCACAGTTCAGATAAGTTTTGGGAACGACAGTAAGGTAAAATTAAAACCATCTCTGTAACAGGCCGTGGAGGCCCTTCGATTTGTGAGATATCGAGGCTCTCATATTTTCTAGGCGATCGGTTCACAGATGGCGGTAAGGTTGTCAGTCGTATGCGCCGGCCGCCCTTTACCCCCAGGAAGATTCCTGGTACTCATTTCTATTAGAGGCTGAGTCGACCCCAGGGCCACAGTGCTGCTGGAAGGATTAGGTCACTAGAAAAATCCAATGACTTCCTCGGGGATGGAACCCGCGACCTTCCGGCTTGTATAGTGCCTCAACCAACTAGGCTACAGCTTGCCCCTGGGGACGACAGTAGCAAATCAAAATTTGATTCAGGAGGAAATTAAGAGGAAACTGAATTCGGCTAATGCTTGCTGCCTTTCAGTCCAGAACCTTTCATCTACTCGTCTGCTGTCCAAAATATAAAAATAATGATTTAGCCTGTGGTTCTATATGGGTATGATACTTGGTCTCTGACATTAAGGAAGGAACGCTGTACTGAAGAGAATATTCGGACCGAAGAGGGATGAAGTGACAGGAGGTTGGAGAAAACTGCATAATGAGGAGCTTCATAATTTTACTCATCTCCACATATAATTACGAGTAGAATGATCAGGTCAATGATCATGAGATGGGTAGGGCATGTGGCATTGGTGGAAAGTCAGAAGGATATAGACCACTAGGAAGAACTAGACGTAGATGGAGGATAATATTAAAAGGATCTTAGAGAAATACGGTGTGATGGTGTGGACTGGACTGATCTGACTCAGGATAGGGACCAGTGGAGAGCTCTTGTGAACACGGTAATAAACTTTGGGTTCCACAAAATGTTGGAAAATTCTTGAGTAGCTGCACAACTGGCGGTTTCTCAAGAAGGTCTCAGCTCCATGGAGTTAGTTAATTAGTTGGTCATGCAAGAACACAGATGCAAGAACGACAGAGTGTCGTCATTTGTGATCGATAGGAAATAGGTTATTTAAGTGAAGAAGAGGTAGATAAGGAATATTTCTAGGAAGCATAAGTTTTGTATATTCTAATTTTTATGTTATTTGACAACAGACGAGAAGACAAAAGGTTCTGGACTGAATGGTAGTAAGCAATACCCGAGTTCAATCACCTCCTAATTTCCTCCTGAATCAGGTTTCGATCTGTTATCCTTGTTCCCATATATCTTAATTCTGCCACATTTTCAAAACATCTGTTTCCTATCTTTATGTCATGATTTTGCCCTACATTTTGGTGACGAGACAGCAACATATACTTAGTTTTTTCTAGACCAACCTCTTTACTTGAGTCAATTAAAGTTTGTGTGTTTTTCTTTATGATATCTCCATTATCACCCAGTAGATTCACATCATCGGATAGGGTCTTAGTCCCACCCCACTAGCAATAAAAGAAAAAAGTTAATAAAGCTCAGTTTAAGCCCCACATCATGTGTGGATTGTAATTAATTTGTACCAGAATTAAACTCAACGACGTTTAGACGCCGGTTATGAAAATTTAATTAAGTTTCTTTTAGCAGTTTCGGGGTTGGTATTATCATAACATGACCGGATCGCGTGTCCATAAGTATATTCAAGGTAAATGCCGATATTAATATTCGTACAGAAACGGAAAATGCTGTTCCTGTCTGAGCTACTCTGTAGATGCAGAGATTCTGAAATTGCCCTCGTGTCACGGACAGTAGCGAGTCACGACTCGATTCCTATCTCTCAAATGTGTTTTCCATGTCCATATAACAGCCCTTGCGTTGAAGTCTCCGACGAGAATGTTGGAAAATTCCACTGTCTTTTGTTACGAGTTTAATGATAATGACGTGTTACACAAGGAATTGATAAAATATTCAAAATTTCTCTCTAATTTAAATTAATCTTGTTTTAATCTTAATTAGACCGCCTATGTGGTATAGTGGTCAGAGTTCCTGGCTACAGATCCAGAGGTTCCTGGTTCGGTCTCCGGAGCTACAAAATTTTCTGAGAAGTAGTGAGTTTGGAACAGTGTCCAATAAGCCTCGTGAGGATAATTGAAGAGCTATTTCAAGGAAATAGCGGCTCCGGTCTAGAAAACCAAGATTAACGCCGTGGGGATCCGTTGCCCTGACCACGCGAAACTCTCTATCCGCTAAAGTTGGCACTAACTTCGCCGACAAGAGGCGGTCTCTTGATCGGTATAGTTCGCTTGCGGACTACAGACCACGGAGTTTTGTTTTAATCTTAATTATCTTATTATCATTCCCGTTTTTACCAGTGTTAGTAGTAGTTAGTTAAATCAGAGTACACGTTTTATTTTTTAGCCAGGATTTCCGATTTGTTGACAGTAAACTTAGAGATTTATAATTTATAGGTTTTTAACGACACTCTTTAAACTACTCAGGCCATATAACGGCAAATGAGATGGAATGGTTAAACCCTATAAGCGATTACTAGATATGGGTTTGAAAGATGGAGGTCATAGTATAATCCTAGCGTCTGCATGGAGATAATCGAGAAAACCACGGGCACTCTGAATCAGTTTAGCTATGACTTCCGGCTGAGATGTGAACCAGGTGCCTTTTGGAGCAACATCCTGCCTTCCTTTCTATTTGTTTATCCAGAGTACCGAAACAGTTTCTTCCTCCGAAATATTGGTAGTGTTTGCTTGTTTGGCTTACTCTCCTACCCTGAAGATGGAGCCGGTAGTTTCCCCGAAACTTGTACTTCTAACAGACTGCACCGCTACAGAGCCCAGAAATTAGTAATCTTCAGGACTATATCGGCATGTGAGGCAGTATGTTCGTTTGAAAAGTTGATACCTAGCTACCAGACTACACGGTGTCATAGACCAGAATAGAACATCCAATCTCAAATCGTATCTGTGGCTATTCCAAGTTAATGACATTCTGTCTGAATTAGATATTTGCAATACTGTTTTTATTTTGTAGTAAAAGTAAATAAGTGAAAGTATCCTTGTAACAGGCCGTGGAGGCCCAGAGGGTTGTGAGACGCCGAGGCTCCCACATTTTCTAGACAATCGGCTCATTGATGGCGGCAAGGTTATCAGCCCTGCGCGCCGGACGCCCTTTACCCCGAAGAACATTCCAAGAATATTCCTGGTACTCATTTCTGTTAGAGGCTGAGTCGACCCCAGGGTCA